TATTTTTAAATCTTTTTTTATAGTTTATGTTGAGAGTTAAGAATTATTATCTTTTGGTTTGTTACCTTTATTATTAGGACGTTGAAGAAAGAAAAAAGATTCTGACATATTTAAAAACAAATGAACGTGTAGAGAAGTAAGAAAGGGGGAGGGGAAAAAAGGAAATAGTTAAAGATAAAAAGGTTAAAAAGGAAAATAAATGAAAATAAAAGACCAAAAATAGGTATTTATATGCACGTAATAAAAGATTTGAAAAAGGTTAAAATTTGAAATATTTGAATTTAGAATTGAAAGAAATTTTTAAAAATTTGGCATTCCTAAAATCTAATATTCCGCGCGAAGCGCGCAGGTGGATTCACTAGTGTCAAATAAAACTAGGATAACTTTCCTTTAAAGTCAGGTAAAATGGCCTCCTGGCTAAGGCTGTATGTGGTCCCGGGCCCGGGCCTAAATGGGCTAAACGGGCCGGGCTAAACGGTCTCGGGCTTAGCGGTCCCGGGCTCTGGCGGTCCCGGGCTTCGCGGTCTCGGGCTTCGTGGGCTCAACGGGTAGGACCAGCCCGTGACGGGCCTAAGCCCATATGGTCCTGGGCTAAATGGGCCGGGCTCGTGGGCGTAGCGGGCCTAACGGGCTTTTTTTATTTCCGGACTTTTTTTTAAATTTTTTTTATTTAGGGCAATTTCTTGTAAACCGTATGTGTATGTATATATATAAATTGCTCTTATGCATGGCTATATAAATATATGTGGTATATATAATATAGAAATCTAATTATTAAAGTGTTTGACGAAAATGTAAAATAACAAATCAATAGTAAAACTAAATTGGCATGCATAATAAATTAATAACAAAGTACAACATGAAGCATAAATACGTCTAATAATTTTAAAATAACACAAATTGTTGAAAAATCTTAAAGACGAATTTGCGGATAAATACCCTCAACACAATACTTTATATGCCTCCTTAAAATGCCTGTGGTACACCCTGAACGAAAATTTAAGACTCTTCCACAGTTCTTGCACTTTAATATTTGGCCTTCTTCATTTTCTTCAAGCACTTCATAGTATTGCGACAACAAATAAGCGCACTCTTTCCGAACGAGGCATGATTTAACTTGAAAATTGAGATTGAGACTTGAAGTCTTGAAAATTGGAGATTGAGAGATTGAGAGAAATTTAGATTGAGAAATGAGTATTGAGTATTGAAATGAAGAAGAGGGAGGGGGTACTTATAGTGTTAGAGAAGGTTAGTTTTGTAAATTTAAAAAAAAAACGGCTATTTGTGCAATTAATATGACCGTTGGTGGTCATTGGGGGTGGGGCCCTCATTTTGAAAAATCTTGTTTTGTAGTATATATAGTACTACTTCTNNNNCGTTGTTCCATCGATTCGAGCTGTGTATTTACTTTGGGACTACTAGGCGGTACTTTGGTAGTTTCTCTTGTTGCATATTTACTTTTGGGACTGTGAGCTACGAATTTTTTGCCCTATATGAATTACTCTCATAAACTCAAAATAAAATAATTTCTTTTAGTATTTACAATTTTGTGGATTTTTGTGGCATTTTATGCATTTTTAGTTGTGCATCTTAATTAATGAAGAAAAAAAAACACAAAAAATATATTGCATTTCTGTGTGCATTTTTAATTTAACATAAAATTCATAAAAAAAATCAAAAAATGCGCATTGCATTCGCATTTAGGGTTAATTTTACATATTTTTAGATTAATTAATAATTAGGATTTTACAAAAATACAAAAATCACAAAATTGAGTTATTTTTGCTTTGTTTAATTTTCAGCTTTGAATTTTGTGAATTTTCTTTAAATTGGTATTTTATTAATAGTGTTGATTGTTAATTAGAGCTTAATATGATTTGGTAGGTTAATTTAGTTTTTAGAATTAATTTAGGGTTTTTAGTTTATTTTGTTCTCTTACTTGAGTAAAAAAATTCCAAACTAATGATGTTTCTAGGCGTTAGAAGGTTGTCTATTAAAAGTAGGGGTTTCTACAGGTGGGTCGGGCGGGGCATCAGTTGGGTTATTAACAGGACTAGTAGGTGAATCATCTAAATCCGGTTGGGTTTCATCTACATCCTCATTTTCCTCATCATTTTCTAAGATAGTTTGATTAGGATAAAGAGCATTCATAACTTCTTCATTTAATTGTTCACCTTGTGCAACATTATGGCAAAATTCACTATCGGAAAATTGAAAACAAGGGTTATCACTATCAAGACTAATAGGAGCAGCAGGACGGGTAATAGGTCTGGGTCGGGGAGCCGGGGGAAGGGTAGTAGGTTGGAGACTACTTTCACCAATTTTAGCTTTAAACATTTTTTTCAAAGAAAATGCCATATTAATTACAATTATGCAAACTAAACACACAAAAATATATTCTTAAAAGTTAAGAGTTGGAACGAGTTTACCGAATTGCCGAACAACTTCTTGAAAATTGAAAATCGTTGAAGACTTGAAGACTTGAATACTTCAATTCACCAACTTCACAATTTTTCACGAAATTGCAATAATAAAATAAGCAATTATAGAAGAGAAATTAGATATAGATTGAGAGAGATTGAGATAGATTGATGAATTGGTGAGTAAAAATGAAAGAATGAGGGGGTATTTATAGTTGAGAATTGGGAAAAAGTGTAATTATATAAAGTTTGGGGTTAAAATAAAGTTTGGGGGCCAAATGGCTATTTTTTAAAGTTCCAAACGGTTGAAAATTAAAGGCCAACGGCTAGATTTTAAAATCTGACCGTTGGCTATTTTTTAAAAAAAAAAAAATTTTTTTTTTTAAAAATTAGCCGTTGGAGCCCGTTAGGACCGCTAGGCCTGGTTGAACCGGCCCAGGACCGCCTGCCGGTCCCGGGCTTAGCGGTCCCGGTCTCGTGGGCCTCGTGTACAAGACCGGCCCGTCACGGGCTTCTTACCCATTAAGGGACCGGCCCACCAGGACCGGCCCGCCGGGACCGTTTAGCCCGTTAGGACCGCGGGCCCGGTCCGGTCCCGATCCCAGACCGGCCCACCAACAGCCTTACTCCTGGCCACTTAAACTTGCACCCAATTGCCAATCCGGTAAATAAACTTACAATTTTTCATTCGAACACCTTAACTTGACGGAATGAATATTAATAAACCACTTTGACCGTTGACTATGCTTATGTGGCAGCAACATGGGTAACATGGACAGAATCGTACCAATAACGCAAAAAAAAATGCGTGAGTACAATATTTGATTTTATAAAATAATACTAAAATCAAAAGAAAAATTAAAAAATGAAAAAGAAAAGGGAAACAACATTTTTCATCTCCTCAAAACTTCATTTTCTTTTTCCTATTATCTCCAAACACCTACACTATCTTTCTTAACTTACCTTAATTTTCCAAACGGCTCGCCTCTCATCTCATCTTCTTTTTACCACTAACCCCTCCTCAGTTATCTCCCATCAGTCCACTTCATTTTTATCCAGTTTTTTTTCATTATCTTTCAAATATTTCTCATCTCGTTTTTTCATTCTTTTTCAAATATAGTGAGTAATTTGAGTAAAGAAATGCTATGGCTTTTGAACTTAAGCGAGGACATAGACTTTTTAAAAAAGAAATGTGGTTATGTGGTTGATCGTCGGCGAACCGGAGGTGACAGTCATTGAGGTTTTCTGGTTGTCTAATATTCTACTTCTAATTGAATTTAACAGAAATAAGAAGAGAAGTAGAATATGGATGAAGGAAGCTGGCTAATAACTTGGATTTGGGGTTTTGTCTGAGACTTTTTCAGTAGTATCTTCTCTTAC